ATATATATATATATATATATATATATATATATATATATATATATATATATATATATATAAGCAACATATATATAAATATATATATGTTGGTAATAGACCATAATTTTTACAATATTTTATAAATTCTACCGAATGTTTGGCGTTAATATGTTTGTAGTTCGTTTTTTCAAATTTTCTCACTAAAGTTTTTAAAATTCAAAATAAACTTATTTTCCGAATTCATGCTGCAAATAAGGCCATATTTCGATTTCGAATGAATCTTCATCAGTGCTTTCTGCTGTTTATATAGGGAAATATTGACTTTGTCAAAATGAAATTAGATGGAGACTGACTTTGTCAAAATGAACTTAGATGGAAATTAGGTGTCAGGTTTCTTTATTGGCTGGTCATCTTCTTTGGTTTCCTTTTCTTCATCGATAGCAACATATTCTTCTTTGTCACTATTTACAATGCTAGTTTTTATTACTTCTTTGTTTTCGTTGTTGGTTAAGCGCCGGGTTGGAAGTGAGGTTGTCATTTTTGTTTTGTTTTTGTTTTGTTTGTTTTCATTTTGAAAGAAAAATGTTTAAACATGAAAAATAAAATAAAATAGAATAAAATAAATAATAAAAAATAATAGTAAAACAAATAAAATAAATTAAATTAAATTGACAATCAAATGAAGTAATGGCATAAAAAGGCAAATTTATAGACTAGATGATGACTTTGTGAGTTAGTGAGGTGATCGATACATAAATAAAAACTAGTTGTTTGAATGATAAAGTTTCATTGAGTGTGAATATGTTTAAGGTGTCTTGTGATGAAGGTCTTTTCCTGATAAGTAAATTGGGAGACGACTTGATAGTTATGTTTGCGCTGACGAATGTTGTGTGTTGTAATTTTAGTTGGTGGTAGTAGAGGATGGATGACGTGGTTGTTGTTATTTTTTACTTTTTTGAACAGTCTTGAATCGAGTGTGTTGAATATCTGAGTGACGGTAGGATATGATGCAGGTAGATAGTTGAAGCGGATTAATTTTTTGATGAGAGATTGTTGTTGCTGAAGTTGTTGTTGTGTAGCAAAACCAGATTAGGAGAGAGCTGCATATTTGATGAATGAGATTATGAGTGATACAGTGATGTCGAATAATTTGATCCCTCTGAGACCAAGTGAGGGGAGAGTTTTGAGTGCTTGAAATGTTTGAAAGCCTTTTGTGATGATGTGATTAATATGAGGTGCTATAATGAGTTTTTGGCGAATGTGATGCTTAATATTTTTTAACGACATGTGCAAGTGATTGATGGGTGTTCTGGAGGTAATGTTATTATCTTACGGCTCTTGTGAACGATGAGTTGAATGATTTATTGAGATTAAGTGATAGATTGCATCGATTTGACCATCTAGTTAATGAGTCGAGTTCTGATTGAAGGGTTTTTGAGTTAGATGATGGGATGATAAGGTAAAAATATAGGGGTCATCAGCGTATTTGATGATGTGATTAGAGCTATAAAAAGTTTTGAGAGTAGAAGCATTGATGATAAAGGTTGATGGTCCAAGGACAGAACCTTTAACTACGCTAGAATTAATAGGTAGAGTAGATAAAAGAGTATAACTAAAGAAAGTAGAATGACTCCTATTAGAAAAAAAATTTATTAAAATATTGTGAATGTTGTCAGGTAGAGGAAGAAAATTTGAAAGTGAGAAATGATTAAGAATGTTAAAAGCTTTAGAAAAGTTAAGAGCAAAAAGATGAGCATAATTATTATTTTTAAGGAGAGATGTTATTGTGGAAGTAAGAAAAATGATGGCGGATGTAGATGAACGTGTAGGGCGAAACGCAAACTGATCTTGTAATAGTGGTTTGATGGATGGATGGTTTAAACATAGATAGATGAATGACCTAACGATGAATTTTTTGGCTTTTTGGCTTCCATGCCACTTCATTGTTTCAAAGAACTATTTGATTTGATTTGTCAAAAATTAAAAATTTAATTGAATTTAAAATAAAAACAAAATGTTCAAACTATCTGGATTATTGTATTATGCAAAGATTTAATTAACTTTCACTAAATGTTGACACAACCTTAGACTAATTAACGTTATAACTGTTTGCCGAAGTATATTTACCAAATATATTATTATTAATTTATTGATAATTTAATTTTGTAGGGTGATGATTATGTTATATAACTAAGTTGTAGCATTGTTTTATGATGGATTGACACGCTAAGCCTCATGATCAACTATTTTTCATAAGCTGCTGTGTTTTCCAAACTTGCTTATGGTATAGGTTGTGAACTATTTTTAATTTGAATGTACGAGATTTAATTCAAATTTATGTATCCATACAATTACACACGCATGTGCACAAAAAATTTAGACAAAACTGAAACACTTAACTTCCAACTTTATCAATTTGACCATTTTAATGCCAACGTCTGCATGGCAAGAGTTACTCACAAATTAGCGCACAAACATTTACTGTTGATTCATATACTATTTATTGTTTCATTAACTTTATTAATACAGTGAAGTAAACACATAAAAAAATTTAGTTTAAAAGCTTTCTTATTTATTTGGAACTATTTTTATACACAGAATAATTTTTATAATCATGATGATCATCGTCGTTGACTGGTCGTAGAGAAATTTTTCAACATAATTATATTTATGTGAAACCGGGTATAATTTTAAATTGTTCAAAACTGATACTTCAACTGACAAACTGATTAAAACGACATTAGCAAAAAATTTATTTTGAATGTGTACCGACGAGCACCTATTTTATAAATTTATTTTTTCTTTTTTATAGAAGTATACAGAATCAGAGATGAATCCGGAATATGAATGTCAATTCAGTAGTCATAGCTCACGATAGTCTTTTTTCGGAAAATGAACAGATTTCAACTGAGACTGGAACAGCTGAAATTGCTAAGGCTTTAGCAATGGCTCTAGTAAGATTTTAAATGCTGGGTTTATCAATGATATTGGAAAATTTGTTGGAACATTTATGGATGATTTGACAAAAAAAAGTCTGTTAGAATCGCCATGGAAGCCACCAGCTGACTACAAAATGCCACATTCACTTCACAAGAAGAAAAATAAACAAGAAAAGCGATATCTTAATCATTCTAATCTGGAAAAATGAATGGCTAGTTTATTCAGATAATAAAAAAGGACTGTACTGCAAATAGTGCTCATTATT